TGACCTGTCGTAACTTACTCTGGAGGTTTGGCGCTAATGAACGCCGTTTTTGTTGTCGTCAGTCAGGAAGTTGATGCCTTGACAGTACTGACGTCTCCTTTACCACTAACGAACGAAGAATGGGCTACCAGGAAGATTCTGCTTCAAAAAGACTTCCCCGATGCTATAATCTCGGACATATGGTTATTCCGGCGCCGAGAATAAATGAACTTAAAACACACACTCTTGTTGAAAAAAAAAAAAAAAAAAAAAAAAAAAAAAAAAACAACAACATATTTTCTGTAGTAATTTTTCAAGTGTTGTAAAATGAAAACGAAATTCGGTTCATGCCGCAAATTATTTTTAGAACACAAGCATTTAAGTTCTTTTTATTTGATTTATTCAAATAAACATTAATCACTTCAGCGCGCGCAAATATCGTTTTCAAATTAAAATGTCGTAAGATACAAATGTATGTTGATGAATTTCCGATGCTCGACTGTAAGTCATTCGTATATATATGCGTTTTTTGTCTTGTTTTTTAAAGCTTCTTATTCTTTAATATTTTTATGTATCTCACAATCTGTATTGAAAATTTTATTACACATGGACTATCAAATTATGATTAGAATTGAATAAACTTTCTAATTACACAATACGGGGTCATTCATTTGATTGAAGACTGATCTTTGCGTCTTTCTCTGAAATAATTATTTCCTTGTTAAAACATATTTGACCACATATTTCTGTCATTTAACTGTTCACTTTTACTTCCGATTTTTGTTGTACCGAAACACATGTTTCTATTTGTGATTTCTATTCGAATCCATAATCAGTTTAATGGGATCACCACCGCGGTAAACGACTACTAGGTACTTTGGTCATGTTTTATACCCCAAATATTTGAATGTTTCTATTGGGATTGAAATGAGCGTAGATAACTAAACAACTGGTTGTATAAATCCCTGACCTGTCTAATTCTAATTATGAGATTAGTGGATATATTAAGACATTCAATACAAAATATTCCTAAACAAAAGAGCACATGTTTAAATTTATTCCTTTACAAATAAAAGATCAGAGTAGGGATCTGTCAATTGCCAGACATATTTTTAAAAGATACTTTTATGTTAAAAGTTTGATTAATGAATTATGTAAGATGAAAATATAAGTATTGCTTTTTTATTTTGCTAATATTAAATGTAATCTTGTGGTGAAATTTTGTCGGAGGGTCCTTACGGATTTTGTAGTTAAATAGTTTTTTTCTCGGCGATACATGGTTTAAGAATATAATGTTTTCAAAACTATATGTTCATCACCATTAGTGAATTTTTAGTTAAATGTATGCAAAATATTTACTAACAGCTATATGATATAGCGGTTTATGAGCGTTTTCCGCGTACAGCCTCCTAAGGTGTACTAATAAGTAAGTTTTCCTTAGTTATCAGTAAGATGATCCATGTCTCTGATGTAAGCGACAGTTTACCATTATTTGTCTTTAAAAAATATTAAGGACTATTAATGGTTTATAACAACAAAAAGAAACATGCATGATATTGAGACTACGGCGTTGCAACATTCTAGTTAATGACCCGTCATAAAACAGTTTGGTCGCTGCGTAGTAATTGGAAAATTGTTATTCAAAAGTAATAAAGAATATTTGCCACCTAATTAAAGCATTTACCTATAAATTTTTCATTTATGCTTTTTTGTTTAAAAAATATTGATAAAGATATTATATAAAAGGGTTTTCATACCAGAACTATTTATTACCAACGTACGTATGCCTAAACCTGATTACCGCGGCAGTATGACGTCATGGAGTAGTGATTTTGAAAAAAATAACAAACAAAATCAAAAATTTTTCAGAGAATTATTATCTTTACAAATTGCAGATATGAAATAAAAGAATGAAAATATTTTCATATTGTAAATGTCTGTGATGAGTGATGAGTCAGCTTAGAAAAAATCAAGGTACTATTTTTTGACCTGATTACCGCGGCAGTAAGATTTGACGGATGGTATTAACATTGGGGAGGCATAGTCTCCCCAAAAACAAGTTTTGTTCTTTTAAAAGAAACATGCGAGAGGTCTTTTTGCAGCTGCGAAACAATGTATTTGTTCATACTAAATACTACAGAGGCCGACATAGACCGACACAGAGCAATGAATACTGCAAAAACCAAATAAAGCCAAACACCTAAATATTTTGAAAGAAATGAATTGTATTCTTTGCCGTTGTATTTTACGGTTCAAAATTCTTTGTATTAAGTTTATTTATCCGACTGTTAAAATGTATATTCGTTATAGTTATAGTACATGAAACGAGTTAGTTACGAGGATATAACACTCAGTCTGGCTGGGGCGACATCAAGGGGTGTTTCTGCTAAAAAATGGCGAGACCGTAAGGCCGAGACAATTGTTTTGCAGAAACATCCCGAGATGTCGCCTCAGCCAGTGTAATACCCCCGTAACTAACGAGTTTTATATACTATAACTATTTTATCGCAATGACATAATGTTTTCTTTTTTGTAATAGAAACAATTGAATAAATAAATAAATCGTTAGCTACATTACAGTTATTTATGATAAGGCAGTTTTTTCAAGTTGTTTTCGCTGCTGCAAAAAATATACAAAAGACATCCAATATTAGAGACTGATTGTTACCAAGACTGTTACCAAGATTGATTCAAGATTTTAGGGCTTTTTTCGGTGGAAATGAATAATTCATTCAGCGGATGAACCTTTTGATTAAATGAGAGTAAATTTCATTTCAATAATTTTCTTTGTTTATAGTTTTCATTGTTTTATATATTTATTTTATTTTATTGATTTCATTTTTTCGTTATGTATTTTTTTTTTGCTAATGGGAATGGTCGAAATCACTGCCCCATTGGAGCCTCTATGAAAAAAAACCTGCATGGATATATACAAGGTGCGAAAAAAACTCGACCGATTTATAACAGTTGAGTTTTTTTCCTATATGAATCAATGAAAAAACTGTACTGTTATATATCAATAAAGTTTTGAAGTGCTCATTGAAGTGTACTGCGTATAATGGGTTAGTAAGAAGAAAGGAAAAGTTCCAAACCATGCGCTAATTGATGAAATTAAGTTAGCTAGTGGTATTATATGACAATAAGCATTGACTAAATGTTTGTATATATTAAGTTCATTTTGGACATAAAGAAATGTCCCGATTCATCTGCTAATTCAAGACGAAATATGATTTTTTTAAATGTCTTTTTAAAAAAAAATTAAAGAATATACTACGTGTGATGTGCTTACATTTCAGACTGGTGTGTCCGTTATTTAACTCATGCCGAATTCCATCTTGCATGGGGGTGCCAGATGACTCGCGTGCTATACAATGACATGCTTACGAAGGTGTAATATCGCCGTTATGTTTCATGCACGATGTTGTAAGACAATAGTTACGGGTGTAATGACATACATTTCTATGAAAATTGTTTTATTAAGGTAAAAATATAAATAAAAGATATTATGGAATGTGGTAGAATATGCCAAGAACAAATTATCTGACATATGTTTGCGGTTCCCTTTGTGACATATAATGAACCGCAACATATGACAGATGTTATTAATCTGTATTATTATTCCTTTTTGTTTCAATTAATTAGTATTTACCCGATTGATTAAAGTATAGTATGCACTTACGATAGATGTTAGGTGTATATAATGCTCATCTGTAGTATATAGCTTTGCATGCTAAGGCAAGTTTGTAACTATACTACTAGCCATCTACTTGTTTCTCACTGTGAATTTAGCCATTGCTTAATATTATTTCATTTGAGGGAGATACTTCAGGTAGTTTTAAATAACGCAAGGAGGGGCAATTGACGTCTTCACAAGCAAAGCTTGAAAGTCGCAACCTGACGTGTTGGTGTGACGTAAAATCCAACAAACATCTATTTGTATCAGCAGTATACAATATATATACAATATGAATTTCAACTTGATTATTTTTACAGAAGTCAAATTTATAACCTTTAAAGGCACAATCGATATGTTCGCTGAGTTTCAGACTCGTTACCTGTAATAATCATAATTCGGTCATCTTCGGTACTTGATTACGTAATGGATCAATAATGACACAGTTGTCTATTACACAGTGTTTATAAAAATAATAGTATAGACAAATATTTCGTTTTATTGTAACCAGCAGAATCATCTGAGATCACTTATTTCTTTGGGTCTTATCACTCTACCGCTGTTTGATATTTGTGATGAATCGACTTCAATGTTTCCGAATAGTTGTTATTATACAAATTTAAGTATTTGATTAAGATTTGATATGTTACATATCACTGCAAGTTTATTGTTGGGAATTGAGTACCGCTCGCCGGTACTAAGGTGTTTGAGGGATGTTGCACTTTTACATTATCCCGCATGTGCAGAATTAAATAAACAAAGTCTGCAATTGCATGCAATTTTGTTTTTTTAATGCTTCCGAGGGATCACTTTTTTCGATGAGTAGCCTACCATTTTATTGAACATATTACAAATAATTCAGGCGATACCAAATTCTAAATATGCAATGAACATTTTCACCGAGTATATGCTTGATATAACTTTACAAAATTTCATTTCAAATTGATCACCATTAAATGTTCTCTTTTTGTATTTCATCCGAAAATGCCACTTTGAAAACAACTCATTTACTAATATGTTGCATTAAACGAACGAACATTACTTTATTATTAAAGAAAAATACATTATGTACGTTAGATTAGAAAACAAAAGTGGTCCAAAATTTTGAAGAAAAAAAAGAAGAAGGAATTGACTTGAAATAAGCTAAATTATTTGAGATTTTTTGGAGAAAACAATACTAACTTGTCATAGTTCGGTCTCTACAAAAACCTACAAACAACTGTAATGTTTTATTTGAAAATATCTCATTTACGCAGAAAAATAGTAGGTTGAATTCAAACCAAAATAATAATTTAAACGTACATATGTATAAAAAGTTAAAATTATTGTTTTAAATGTATGTACGTACCAAATTTAAACTCCACTTCATTGTTTCAGATAAAGGAATAGGTATATTTTATCCCAACAAATCCCAGCGGAACATTCAATATAACCTCAATCGTTGGAAAAAAAATCACAAGCAGGAAGTCTTAAATATCTGTACAAGTGTGCGTGTTATATACACAATAAGAGGTACAAATCATGTCTTAACGGTTGAACGATTATATATAGGATTATGTTTAAAACAATAAATAAAATAGGTAGGTTTTTATACTTGACGGGTTTAAACTGTTTCTTGCATGTGCCATTCGATCTTAACTTTGAAAAAAACAAAAACTTATACATGTATTTGTTTATCTCATAAAGAGCGAATGGCACATATAAGAAACAGTTAAAACACTTTATATAATAGTATCAACATAGTTTATTTGTTATTGTATTAAAAATAATCAGATGTAAACTTAGGGTATACTGTAATATTTATGTCACTGGTGTGCACTGCAAAACATACATGGATATACGGAAGTGTACTGAATTCCGTATACATATATCAGTAATTTGCGGGTGGGGGTAAAATGCGGGAAATTTGAAAGGAAAATGAACGAGATCGTATATGAGCCCATTTATGACTTTTATACGGGAACTTGCTAGTAAAAGGCCAATACGGAGCTTTTAAAATAAGTTCATGTTTTACTAAAAAATGAAGAATCAATATTCTTGCAAATGCGTATTCTGCATAACAGAAATAGTGATCTGAATAATCCATTTCCTATAAGAGGAAAGAAATAATCTTATAAATCATTGTTCAGACATTTGTCAGAATAACACGAAATAGTAAAGGTCTTTAACAATGTAATATTTCCTGGATCTATTAGCAAGCCAATTGCATACAATGTACTTTTAATGTGTTCAGTGGATCTGTAAAACATATATATTTGACAGCGTCCGCCGCATTTACAGAACAAAATGACAACATACATTCAAAAATCTTCTTCCGGTAAATATGACGGTCAGTTAGATTTTATGACCGACCAAGACCGACCAAATAAATATATGTTTTAAACCAATTTTCGTGGATTTTGCTGCATTGAGGATGTGAGAAAATGTACAATATGACTTTGCTGTTACATGTCTTAGCTTATCTGTAGAAAAAGTTTCAAATCAGTTGACTTGATAATTATGATATACATGATGTACTAAATTTTGCCGAAGATTTTGCTCGAAATTCACGAGCCGCCACCACCCTAGCATAATTTTTTGAGGTACACTGCGCTACAAAAATAACATTACTGATGACCAGTACACCAATATTGAAAAATAAATCAAGAAAGAGAGACCTATCTTTCCCAGAAATTGCAATGGAAACGAAAGATCAAAAATGTTTGTTAACCACAAACTCCTATAATGGAGTGTCAACCTGCAAATATAGCACTAGACCAGGATGCAATAAATGCTATTGCTGCCGCGTTGTCTGACACAATCCAAGTTAACATTGAAAGTACCATGGAACGACAGTAACAAAATCGTTAATAGGGTAGTCACCGTGTTACACTCACGTACAATACATATTGAATATGAAAACACAATGCTCAAGAAAGCAAATATTGACCTGGAGAACCGTGTTACCGAACAAGAGAAACAACACGAAGCAGATAAAAAATATTCGAATCGCAACTTTTTGCACATATCTGGTGTTTCTGGCCTATACGATGCCCTTAAAACAGACATAATGCTGTCTGAGAGTGATAGATGCCATAGAACAGGGGAAAAAAACAAATGTTGACGGACCAAGAGATATACTTGGAAAATGTGCCGCATATTGTTCTCGACAAAAGCTTTTTCCAAACGAAAAGACCCGAGAGCGTAAATTTTGGAATTTGAAAATCCTTTTACTCCCTTTCTCAATTTCTCACGAAATATCATTTTTATTTCTAAGCTCAGTGCTTTTCGTTTTCTTTCCAGGCATAAGAGTAAACAATATTTTCGATTTTTCCATCCTTTTATATTTAATATCTTCTATTATAAGGGTGAAAGATATAATTTCAACCAAGCGTACTTTGTACTTTACTGTACTGTGTATACCATGTTTATATAAATTACATACATGAATAAATATCACTGCTTTTTAAACAAATATACAATTAATATATTTCAACCTATTGTTCCATATCAAATCATAAAGCAATCAATCCATAAGAATTAAAAGTGATAATATGAACACAAGTGACCATTAATTTTTGTATACAAACTCTCGGCGTGATGTATAACAGTTACAATAAACCACAAAAACAATGTATAGTAGAGGCTCACAGTGTACATAATTGGGTTGTGTAAAGTGTTATTTTGTCTTCAAATGTACTATTTGTGAATAATTCTATTCAGTATTAAATGTGATAAACACACACATTTAATAATATCTATACGCATGTTAAGTATACCTAAATACATAAAATATTTGAATGAAATACATGCACGAACTTTAAATGAGATATATGTTACAGAATTAAATTAAAATGGAATGTGCACGTATCGTTTAACATGAAATCATTGTTTAATTATGTCGAAATGTGACACAGGTCAGCTGAAAGAATTATTTTTTTATAATGGAATAATTGATTTAAGTTACGTTGGAAAAGTTAAATATCGTTTCGCTTTGATGTTGTTGTCGTTATATATATGCGCTCCACACATTTTATTTATGATATAGTTTTGAATGTATGCACATGACTGTATAGTATAAGTATCTGTTAAATTATACCTATATGTGATAAAACAAATACTGTACATGCATAGTATTAGTAAATGTTAAGATTGCCTTGATTTGCTTTTAACTAGTTGTGTCCATATATGGAACTTTTTAATTTATCATAGAGTTGACAAAATAGATGTTGCACATGTATAGTATTAGTATATGTTTAGTTAAGTTTACATTTGTCACAGGACAGCGTTCAAAGGTTAATGTTTATGAATAAAATTTTGAATATATAACTAATTAAGTAAGTAAGATAAATACAACTAATATAATTTATCTATATGTTTAATTTGCCGACAGCTTTTACAATTCTATGTCTTTAGAAACATTTTAATGCATTTAATGCATTATTATGTAATATTTTACTGAAATATTCTTTGAACTGTTACGCTTGAGTAAACCTTAAAATGTAACTTTTCAACGGCATGTTTGATATATAAACGTTATCAAAATGAAAAGAATTGTCTCAAACATATAATTTGTGTTAAAACAGTAAATTTGAAAGCACCTGTATATTACATATCAGTTTAATATTTGAATCGGAATATTGATTTTGAAGTGACGCTGGTATTGACGTCGTTACCAAGCGACGTTATTAACGTTCATTATCTTGAAGATCCCTTTAACGGATGAAACCGGTTGATATTTCTTTTCAATTTTTATTAGTTTTGTTACATTGCAATTTATATATGCCCCTTTAAAAAAAATCTAGATAGGCACTTAAAAATCCAGATCGTCAGAAATATAAGCTACTTCTTTTCTACAAGATAAAGTCCACCTAACGCCATCTTATCTTTATCTAATTATATCCGCTATTAGTTGATAATGAAAATTATCTCCTCCGTAATCGTGAAGATCTTGGAACACCAAGAGCTAGAACATCGCTGTACTATGACTCTTTCCTCCTTGCAACATCTAGAGCTTTTAATGAACTTCCTATATCTCTTAGAAATGCAGCGACTGTTTTAACTTTTAAGAAAGAATCGTTACAAATAAACAAATAAAAACTGTACTGCAATACTTCGCCTTTGGAAAACGTTAAAATCAAATAATTCTCTTATTCGTACAAATTGTAGCTTACTTGCAGATGACCTATTTTCCAAATATATCACCTCTTTGTATCTGTGGGTCTCGAGTTACATATATTATCTTAAATTTTGTGGATCATATAATATCTAAATTGATTTGTTACTAAGAAAATAGTGCAGCGCAAATCCTTAGATGTCAGAGACAAATTATGTTTAGCCATCAAAATTACTGAACCAATCAAGGGAATTTTAATTAGAAAACGCTAACGTTTATAATTACATTATTGATAAATTACAAAACATTGTAATAATGTTATTTAATGAACTTCATAAGTCTTTATTAATTAATATTTAATATCTATCAGACACAACTTCGTAGCGAAATATTTGCTATGTGACAAAAGAATAAAAGGCAAAATTTGACATATTATATAGCATTGTTTTGAGAGTTCTAAGAGTAAAAGATAAAGATAAATTATGAGAGTGTTATAGCATGAATGAAAGCCCGGATATACGGAAGTTGCCTTTAACAACAGGCACATCTGGGTGCCGTTTAATCAACAAAGACGGTCGTAACTGCGATCTTATCTTACCACCTATACTAACGATTTTCACATGACCGTTTTATGAACACGGTCGTACGACCTCAGTCGCAGCTAAGACCATTTTCGGTCGTACGACTGTTTAAATAGTAACCATACAACCAAAGTACGTTTCCGGGTCACGTGATTTTCCGCACACCTGTAAATTAACACGACTGCATTTTTAAACAGAAAGACAGTGTATGCCTCCTCGTCGAATTTGCTACAGTAGCTACAAAAAAATGTTTAATAATGAATGAGCTTAATTGACATATACACATGTTTATTTTGTTTCCTTATTAACACAATAAAGTACAACCGATAAGTCTTTTTGTGTTAGATTTCTTTTGCAATATATATTATATATCGATCTTTACTTAATAAAAAAAACAAATAAAAATAATATTTCATAAAACAAATAGATACATTTTTGCCGATCAAATTATAGAGATGCATCAAAAAAGAGGACATATATCCGTCTACAAAACATATGTTTTATTTAAACGCTTTCCGCGTGATTAGTTAACAGTTGCTTGTTAGGCACATTACTTTTAATCAAAGTGTTAGTCTCGTTCTGTTTATCCTTAAAAACGGCTAAGGATACCATTAAATAATGACTATGTTAATATATCCCTTACACCCCTGTATTTACAATACACAGGTCGGTAGCAATTTTCTGAATAAAAGTCAAAGAACGTGATAATATACATCATTATAATCTGTCAACCGTAAAGTTTCATGTCCTAACTATGAGAGTAAAGCAAAACTAT